CTGGTGGGTACTTTTTCACAGTTTTCTGGCTCTCCGAAATCGAGGTTCTTTCAGGGCCAACAACCGGGCTGAGTATGCTAAACTAGAGAGAGAATCGCTGGCAACTACAACAAAATGAACATATTTGACCGTGATTTAATTGTAGTACACGTTTCAAAATAATGCCGAAGTAACAACATACTGATACCGGTTAGTAAAAACCATGAATTAATGCTTTGACAAGTCTGCAGACAGACGGCAGGCGGAAAACCTTTTAAGATGCGTGTTTTCTGAATGGAGATCGGCTAAGCTAACGCCGTATATGCTCCGACCCTCCACACTCACAACAACGGCCTACAGCCATAAATAAACCAGTGACTGTATTCTCCATGACACAGACAGTCTGTGGTTTGTACATGTTTAACTTTTGTCTAGTTTCTGAACAGATATGAGGAGCTGTGAGCTCTGAGGGCTAACAGCTAACGGCTGTGTTGGTTTTGTGGTTCTCATTGAAGATGACGTCACGACTCCGCCTACACTGCGTTACCATAGTTACTGCCCCAGCTACTAAACTGTAATGAAAACGCAGCATAAAGTGAGCCTGGCCTAACGAGGCCTAACTATACCGTACTAAGCCGTGCGAGGCCCTGCAGTGGAAATGCACCAATAGTGTCTCTGGTATATATCGTGACGTGTTCACCTGCTCATTCTGCCGTCACCCTAACACCCTCAATGTGCACAGCAGAAATGACTTGACCTCTTTTATAAGGTAAAGATTATTGTTGACTGTTATAAGACATGAAACTGAATGAGTGTGTGTCCACAGAGAACCCAAGTGAACCCTTTGGAGCGTCGGTCATTATAGACGGAGTAACGTACGGCACAGGAACCGCAAGTAGTAAAAAACTTGCCAAAAATAAAGCTGGTAATTTATTTTATTTATATGACTGAGAATTATGAAAGACGGATTGGTTTATTTCACATCTAAATAAACATTGTATTAGCTCGGAGCTCTCGGAGAGTTTTGAAATCCCAAATAGTGTTTATATTTAGTTACAATTGTCAGTGTGGAGCAAATGTACAGCTATTAAATCAGAAAAAGGGAATCACTTGTCCAGGTCAATTCTAATCTAACTGTATTCTGTTCACCATGTTAATTGGAAAAGATAACTTCATCACCCAGATTCATTAGTGTTCCCATACCAAATGCTAACTGTTACCAAGTACCACAAGAACACTTCTAAGTAGAGATGTTCACAGAGAGAACGTCTTTATATTCTTTCTATAATACAGTTGGTTAATGTTCACGTTGCAATGCATCCCTTCTTTCCCTCTCTCTGGTGGTTTGGTGTGAACTTCAGCTCGAGCCACACTGGAAATCCTCATCCCTGACTTTGTGAAGCAGACCTCGGAGGAGAAGCCCGTTGAGGGCGATGAACTGGAGGTACTTGCATATTATTGACACTTTTTCAGTGAAGTACAAAAGAGTAAGTTAAAGTTATGTACCTTTGACATTAAAGGCAGGTATCAGGACGGTTATATTTCCCTTGAAAGCATCCCTGAAATCAATGTGTGTTTTCTGCTCCACAGTATTTTAATCATATCAGTATAGAAGACACTAGAGTGTACGAGCTGACCAACAAAGCAGGACTACTTTCGCCATATCAGATTCTTCACGAGTGCCTTAAAAGGTAAGAACCAAATCGATGCCATCAAAGAAAATTGTAATAAATATTTGTGTTTCATTTAAAGAAATATCTACACTGAAGAGTTAAAGTGTATTCTGAAGCAGTTGTATACAATATAGGAATGTGTTACATTGAACACAGGTGCTATTATTATTATTTGCCATATTGTATAATCTTTATACACTTAAAGGTGGGGTAGGTCATTTTGGAGAAACCAGCTGGAGTGCGCTAGAATTTGAAAATACACAGCCGGAGAAAATCTGCCACTTCCTTACAGAGCCCCTCCTCCAACACACACGAACGCGCACATGACCAATGAGGGCACGAGATAAGTTTGTGCACAGATGGAAGGCTGACAGGCAGGTAGGCCATCCAGTTATTTTAGCCGGGCCGGCTCAGATGATTGGTCGTGCTTTTTACTAGAGATGTCCCGATCCAATCACGTGATCGGGGATCGGAGCCGATCACGTGATTTTCAAAAGATCGGAATCGGGAGGAAAAAAATCGGGGATCGGGATTTTTTTATTTTTTATTTTTAAATACTTTTTTTTAAATGGTTTATTCAATGTTACAAAACAAAAATGACCATGTTCAAGTCTTAAAGTCATCCTGAGGCCTTAGTTTTGGTTTCAAATTACACAACATCATGTATGTGTTGCTTCTTTGGGGCTTGTTTTCATAGACCTGGTTGCTTATTTCTCTCAAATCTGGCAACAGAGTGGGCAGGGCGCAGTGTCTAATTGTAGCAGTAAGCTAACGAGTACTGATAAGCT